TCTCTCTCTCTCTCTCTCCCCTCTCTCTGGGTGTTTTGGAGGGAGCATCGGCTATTCAATCTCTCCTGAATTAATCATGGGCCGTGTCACCGGCAGTTTAGTCGGGCTTCCTTTCCATTTGTTGCCCTTTCTTTGACTTCTTAACTGAGCTTGGGAAGTGACAGCGAGTGGAACAAATTGCCCCGTGCCTCCCCCCACCCCCTGAGGCTGAGCTCTGTGAAAGTGAGCGGAGAGGAGAGACCCCGGTGTGGGCTGGGGTAGGGGATAAAAAAGAAAGAGCCAAATATTGTGCCAGGCAGAGCCACCTCCTGCAAAAAAAGAATGAGCAAAATTATACCCGTAGGCAGTGTTCCCTCTAAGCTGAGTTGGTGTGAGCCAGCTCACAGATTTTTAGCCTCCAGCTCACACATTTTTGTCTTAGCTCAGGAAGGATGGGGCTCCAGAGCAAACTAATTTATGCAGTTGCCAAATCTCTGGCTCACAACTTTAATGCCGGTAGCTCACAAAGTAGAATTTCTGCTCACAGGACTCCACAGCTTAGAGGGAACATTGCAAGACTGGGCATGCCTTTGTCCACATTGCCGGATTCTGCTTCCAGATCCGGGGCCTTAATGGGCTTCAGCGACTGGAAAGAGCCTCTAAGAGGTGTCTGCACGTGCCTGTCAGGGGGAGAGGCTAGATATGAAACAGGATTTCTAGGTGGTGCCGTAAGCCAGCTGCGACCTGACAGCGCTTTCCTCCACCACCAGTGAATGCAGAACCATAGAGCTGGGAGGCGTCAGGCTCCTGGACCAGTTTCTCTCAGCAACACTCTCTTTGGCAGTGATTTGTTTATTGAGAAAGAGACAGGATCCAGACCAGAACAGGGCTGTGTCAGGACTGAGGATGTTGGCCGGTACAGGTACAGTTATAGGTAATTCAGACAAGACACCCCCCCCAAGTCTAAGTAACCAATCACACGTCACAGTTGTCCAGCCTAGCCGTTGCATTGTCCACCCACCCCCTCTGGGAAATATATGCTCCCACCATCTACCCTGGCACCAAAGCTGGCACCAAAGGTTCAAGGACGTTCCTCTGGGAGGAAGACTCCTTCGGGAAAGTTACAGCTTCTACGATAGATAGCGAGAGTCACACACTCGGCATTTAAAGTGCGCGGACTCTGATCTGGGAGAACCGGGTTTGATTCCCCACTCCTCCACTTGCACCTGCTGATGTGACCTTGGGTCAGTCACAAGCTCTGGCACAGCTGTTCATAAGAACATAAGAACATAAGAGATGCCAATGTTGGATCAGGCCAAAGGCCCATCCAGTCCAACACTCTGTATCCCACAGTGGCCAGAAATACCAGTGCCATCAGGAGGTCCACCAGTGGGGCCAGGACATTAGAAGCCCTCCCACTGTTGACCCCCCCCAAGCACCAAGATGACAGAGCATCACTTGCCCCAGAGTCCCTATCTATACCTTGTGGCTAATAGCCACCGATGGACCTCTGCTCCATATGCTTATCTAATTCCCCCTTGAAGCCGTCCATGCTTGTAGCCGCCACCACATCCTGTGGCAGTGAATTCCACGTGTGAATCACTCTTTGGGTGAAGAAGTACTTCCTTTTATCCATTCTAACCCGACTGCTCAGCAATTTCATGGAGTGCCCACAAGGAGTTCTTGTATTGTGAGGAAGGGAGAAAAGTACCTCTTTCTCTACCTGCTCTTTCCCATGCATAATCTTATAAACCTCAATCATGTCACCCCTCAGTCGTCGTTTCTCCAAGCTAAAGAGCCCTAAGCGCCTTAACCTTTCCTCATAACCTTTCCCCAAAGTGGCCATTGGCAATTCCCTGGGCGTGTAAAAAACGGCCACAAGAACTGAGCCCTGACGACCCTCCCTGCCCTCCCCCTCAGGATCTGCCTAAGTTCACAGAATCCGCATTGCTGTCAGATGGCCATCTAGCCTCCAAAGGAGGAGAGCCCACCACCTCCCAAGGAAGCCCGAAGGGGGGGGGGGTAGGCTGGATTGTAAAGATTAGACAAAATGATAAAGAGAAAAATCTCAGCAGGGAGCCCCTATCTGAGCCTTTAAGCCACTGGCCTACCTTCCAGAGTGCCTCCAAAATATTCCTTTGCATTCCCTCCTGTAGAATGAATTCAGTTTTGTGGGGATCTTTTAACAATCCCAGGCAGGACCAGGAGAGGGCAGTACAGGTTGGACTCCTAGCAATTCCCAGGGCATTCAACAAGGGACCTGAAGAACAGAGGATATTTTCCTCTTGTCAAGATCAGGAAGACATCCGATGGGGCACAAACTCTACATCTCAAAGAGAACTCGGGGATTCTTCTGTGTGCAGTTGTTCGATTGTGTTTTTTTAAACTTGCCACAGCCCAAGACAGGCCATGAGCAGAGGAGAGGTGGGCGGGGCGGGATGACTTCCCCCATTCCCTTCCTGTTGTTCTTCAGGCCAAGCCAGACTCGCCCTCCCAGCTGGCCCCTTGGGCTGTGTGGGGACAGATTAAAAGCCTCCATTTCTCCTCCCTACACTTTCAGTTACGCATTGGGGTTGAATCATCCCTGATTGAATCAGCCTACAGACTGGCTGAGCTTGGAGCACAAGAACAATAGCTGAGCAGGATTCTGGAATAAACCAATGAAGTAGTAATGTTATGTAAATATCCTATCATTTATTTATTTATTAAATTTCTACCCCGCCCTCCCACCGAAGCGGCTCAGGGCGGCTTACAAGCAATTTAAAACCAACATACAGTTTAAAACCAGCAAATACAAAATATAGGGAGTGGGTGTGTGTAAGGTGTGGTGTTTTGCATGCATGTAAGCAGGGCTCCGCCCCTGCTAGAGTTGTCTTAGAGTTAAGCTGAAATCCCTAATAAACTATGAGCTGATCACTATACGAGTCTCGAACTGTTGGGATTCTTAATTCAAGGTCGATGGTTGTATTGCAAACACAAGAGCCACACTTGGTAAAAGAAAAATAAAATAAAAGGTTACATACTTGCAGTTACTCTCAGTAATATATGCTAACAGCTACATCTTTCTCTCTCTCTTGGCTTCTAGAAGAGAACTTCCTCTTTGATTCACACAAAGGGCCATAAACCTTGTGAATACATTAATGCTAGATCAAAGCATTCCTACAAACAAGATGTTAGTTGACCAATACAAAGGTTACAGGTCACTTCAGTAGGATAAACAACTCCCACAAA